TCTTTTTCGCTCGCTGCAACACCATCTTAATGGGAAAACGTATGCAAATGCGGAAGGTGTTAAAGAGGGCACCAACATATATTTTGCTTCAAAGCCAAGTGATTTCTTTAATCATGGCATTAATAACCTGAATGTAAGATGAAAAAGCATCATCGATAAGAATGGAGATTATTTAATTTAATAAGTGTTTTGTTTTGATATATATAAGTTGTTCGGGTTTTTTCATCTAAACAAAAGCGACATTAATTTCTTAACGACCTAATATATTGTTATCGTAGAAATTGTGAAATTCTCCTAAACAGAAAGTTTATAATTATTAAACAAATTGTTAAAAATTGAGAACAGAAAGTCTTGTATTTAATTTAAGGATTATAAAGTTTTCTAAACACAAAGATTTGTTGTTGTTGTATAGATCCAAGTAACACTCAACAGAAATTATTATTGTTACCGTACAGATTATGAAATATTGTAGAGAGTTCTTATTGTTATCTTAGAAACTTGAAGTCGAACCAACAGAAAGCTTTATTGTTATCTTACAAATTGTGAAGTTTATACAAATTATTGTTATCGCAGAGATTGTGAAGTCTTTCTAAAGGAAAGTATTATTAACATCACAATACAGTAGTATTACGACTACTGCTAAAATATTCTTCTTCTTGAACTCGAGGGAATCAAAAAGCATTTAAAAAAACTCAATACTGAAATTATCCACAGTTGCCTTTAACTAGGTATAAACACCATTTTGGGATTCATGAACGATTATATTCTCTCAAAACAGCAAACGATATCAACAATACTAAATCTCAGAAACATAAAGTTACTCTACGAAAGAAGGTGTAACGTTCAATCATAAGATACTCTTCGATGAAGAAGGCAATATTTCAGTCAAAGCATGAACTATAAGGTTTTGTTTTTTTATACTTTTTTTTAACAACATTCATGAGCAGATCTTCCTAAGAATCAATGATAGAGAGGGTTTATATAGAGCCTGATACTCCCACTGTTGGGACTGAAAACTTCATGAGAAAACACACTTATACACAATGTGTTTACATTTTACAAAGTCAAATCGTTTATTGATTTCTGGGAAGTGTACATTGTTATTGCATTTAGAGAGAGAGGGAGAACGTTGTTGACTTTAGAGCCTGAAGAAACACACATATATATTATTGATATATCTTAAGTCTATTTTCAGTGAATGATATATTCTTCCTAGAACACAAACAAATGAAAGCACACAATATCTAGAGGATGAAGATGTCATTTCCACGGTAACGTAAACCGTATGATTTTTCATTCCACAACAGACTCGTTTGTAGAAAATATACATTAAACAAAAATATGTAAAACAAGTTTCTGTTAAGAATAAATACTTAATGAGACCACCAGTCAGTGCTATTAGTTTATGATGACGAAACTATACTTATTCGAGTGTACTAATAAAAAAATAAGTAATGCGGTTAATTTCTGTTCTACTGAATATGTACACTCACAGAAAAGTAAAGAAACACACAAACTTTTACACCATCATTATATCCCTACAACAAACAAGAAGTAACTATACATGATAAACTTCTGCTTATCTGTACTTCTAATGGATGATAATGTATATCTACTGAGCTTATGCACTGTAATATCCCCTTATTAGACAAAACGTAAATATCCTTGCTAAGTTTATTATTCAGCTGTTTTCGTAACCTAAACGAAAGCTGGTAAAACCAGCCAGGCTGTTGCTCTGTTCTCTTCAACATAAAAACAGAAATCAATACGCCTGCTGAGCCCGTGCGTCATAACATCCGCATGCGAAACAAGAGTAAACACACCAACTAAGTGTCTACTTATGAGTATTTACAACACAAGAAGTAAAAATATCCAATAAGTTTCTGCCTTGTCGTATTAAACAAATAAATACACACGCACGCATATGTATATACTTGATTGTTAAGCAGTGTATAACAGAAGCGACAACAAAATAGGTAAAGACATGGTATATGTGCTTGTACGCTATTGTGTCCAAACATTAAAATATAAAAGAAAATGTTCGATAAGCTCCCGTTTCTTAGAACACTACACAAACTATAAAACAGATACATTTTTGTTAATCGATGGTTCTTTTTTTTGTCGTGCAATAAGGAAGAGAAAGATACTGTTTATTTATTTGTTTGTTTCAGAGCTTATGCACCATCCACTCGTTCGTAAATTTGAACTGGTTGGATAAAAAAGAATGTAACTAGTTTTGCCAGATATAACAGTGAGGATTGTCCGTCATTTTTGTAGCACACTCATGGCCCCACACTGCGGAAAGTGTTTCTGCAACAACGGGCAGCGAACCATGAATCACCGGATCCACAATCCGAACACGTTAACTACTAGGACACGTGCAGCCCTGAGGATTGTATACCCGCTTAATTCCTGCTTTTTATTCGAAAATCAAAGTAGAATTCGAAATAATTGTTGTTCAGCTTCTGCTCAACTGTATTTATATGTTAAGCTTCTGTGTTATTTTATTTGTACATAAAGCAAGAAGTATAAATGCTTGCTATTCTTCTGTGTTATTTTGTTAGTACCCACAACAATAAGTGAAAACGCCTGCTATTCTTCTGTGATATTTTATTAGTACACACAACAGTAAGTGAAAACGCCTGCTATTCTTCTGTGTTATTTTGTTAGTACCCACAACAATAAGTGAAAACGCCTGCTATTCTTCTGTGATATTTTATTAGTACACACAACAGTAAGTGAAAACGCCTGCTATTCTTCTGTGTTATTTTGTTAGTACCCACAACAATAAGTGAAAACGCCTGCTATTCTTCTGTGATATTTTATTAGTACACACAACAATAAGTAAAAATGCCTGCTATTCTTCTGTGATATTTTATTAGTACACACAACAATAAGTGAAAACGCCTGCTATTCTTCTGTGTTATTTTATTAATACCCACAACAATAAGTAAAAACGCCTGCTTTTCTTCTGTGATATTTTATTAGTGCACACAACAATAAGTAGAAACGCCTGCTATTCTTCTGTGATATTTTATTAGTACACACAACAATAAGTGAAAACGCTTGCTATTCTTCTGTGTTATTTTATAAGTAAACACAATAATAAGTGAAAACGCCTGCTATTCTTCTGTGTTATTTTATTAGTACCCACAACAATAAGTAAAAACGCCTGCTATTCTTCTGTGATATTTTATTAGTACCCACAACAATAAGTGAAAATTCCCGCTATTCTTCTGTGTTATTTTATTAGTACACACAACAATAAGTAAAAATGCCTGCTAAGCTCCTGCGTAATTTCCTTTTTTACTCAAATCAAGTAGATCTATTTTTCTGCTGTGTTTACTGACTGTGTAAAACTTCTGGAACACAAATTGATACCATATTAAGCGATAAGTTATCATTAAACACAGAACTGTACTTTATATTAGACTATTCAATAAAGGTTAATGTAATATAACCTTTTCGCTGGAAGAAGTACTGAAGTATAAACATAACAACACTTTATTAACGCTAATACCCCACTCAAACTAACTTGTATAAATCTACATTATAAAATAATGTCGTAGAAGTAAACGCGAATAATAATACGAAGACAGATCTGAAGGTATGAGAAGTGTCATTGAAAAGTATATATATATATACGTAAATACTATTACTCAGTAGTGAAAAGTAACTGCTTGTATTGTAGTAAAATCTTCGTGGGTTGGGCGTAACAGATGTTAAGTGTTAGAAATGGTTGTTTGTCAAACAAATGTTCATGTGATAATCTCATACAATAATGGGTGCATTTTCCTTTAACGTTAGCGTGATCTGTATAAAGATATTCCGTTACAAATTTCATACGCTGCGAATGAGCTTTTACTCTCACAAAAAAGGTTCTTGAGTTATTTGTGTAAAAAATATTCATACACTATAAATAAGCCAAAAGTTAATATTGTAAAAAAAACACAAAAACTTGCGCACGCTACTGAGTGCAAAAATGTTCACAGTTATACCGTTTAACGATGCATGACGTTATTGGATGAAAAAACAAATGTGGGTCTTACCATTTTTGGTTTCGCTTTCAGCCGGTTTCATCTGAATTGGATGTTGCATCTACAAGTAAAGATCGATAACAATATTTTATTATGTTCATAACACCAACAAAACAAAATACTTCTAAGTGGTTAGCAAGGAAACTCTTCGAATGCATGTACAAGTTAAACAGTTTACACACGTGCCACATAAATTTTAACAAAAGAGAGAATGACAATACATGTCGGATTAATAGCTCTTTGTTAAAGACGCCATACCTATATCTTTAACAAAAATCAACAATGTCGTTATACAGGACAACAAACATAATAAATTCGTTCCATAACAGCTAAATATCTTTAAAAAAAGAGTAAAAATGTTACTATATATATCAACAGGTATAGTAAATATGTTCTCAACAAACCAAACTATATCTTACAAAAAAGAAAGTAACATTTTTGTTAAGCACACTGTGCATTAACCATGACATGTCTATATTTTTATGTACACACATACACACAAATACAACTCATGTCACTAAACTATCCTGATATTATTATAGCACAATATTTCTGCCACAGTATTGTCATGTTGCATCGTTCCCGTACGAATATTGAATAATAACAGCGTTTACAACTAGATTTTTCCATTGCAATATTGTTTCTGTAAAGATCTTGAACTACAACATAGGTTACATCCTGATATTTGCATTGTAATACTGTCTCTACGCCAATATTAAAATACAACATAAGTGACATTCTTTGTAATGCTGTTTGTGTACCAATGTTAAAATACAAGATAGTTTTTGTATCTTGATATTTACATTGTCATATTTTCCCTGCGTGAATATTAAAATAATACATAGTTTAAATGTTGATGTTTACTTTGTAATGCTGTTTGTGTATCAATGTTAAAATACAAGATAGTTTTTGTATTTTGATATTTACATTGTCATATTTTCCCTGCGTGAATATTAAAATAATACATAGTTTACATGTTGATGTTTACTTTGTAATGCTGTTTTTTCACCGATATTAAAATACAATATGATTTGGTTTTTGTTAAGCACAAAGCTACAAAACGGGTTACCCGTGCTCTACCCATCACGAGTATCGAAACCAGATTTTTGGCGTCGTAAGCCTAAGGACTTATCACTGAACTACTGGGGAGGGATAAAATATATTTTGCATCCTGATAGTTAATTGTAATTACTGTTTCTGTAAAGATATTGAAATACCAAGTGGTTTCTATCCGGATATACAGTGATTGGGGATTTTATTTGAATAATAAATTTCTGCAATTCTTATTTTCTTTTAGGACCTAAAACAGTAAAGAGTCGGTTTAAAGCGTCAGAATGTAATTTTACAAAAAAATATATATAAATAAAAATCGTACGATTTAACTTATGTTCTGACTTTATGACTTAAGTGCTAACGATAAGAAAAAAGTGATTAGAGAACAACATTATATTATCATACAATTCTACTTTCGTCCAATCACAGGTGCCTCCCTCTTTAAAACGGATTTTCCACATTACACGCAGATATACATAAAAACATTATACACGCGAAAGTAAGTTTTGATTGTTATATGTATGAGATATTCGTACTTATAACACAGGATGTATCCTTAGCGCCACTTAATGTAAACTACAGAAAGTTTTAGTCTTGCAAACTAAGTTTATAACGATAATGTGTTTTTTCACATCGTCGTATATTTTTACAATGATAATATATTGTATTTATGATAAAACAAAACAAAACAGTTTTTGTATTTGTTACGGTGTGAACGCCTTCTACAAGCTAGCGAAACATGATTATAACTAATTACATTTGTCAAAACATATTAGTATTAAGCCTTTTATATGTTATAACTTCTTCTAATTCTTGGAAATCCCCGAGAGACTATATAAACAATGTAGTGTTTAATGATATAATAAACCTAATACTAATGTCTTATGACAAGTGTAATTAGTTTTTGTATTTATTTACCAAAGCTTTCTTGGTTACTACAGAAAACGTGACATTAACGTAAACCTCCTATCATTGTAAATGTGTTTATTACTACGGTGATAAAGTAGATGCCATTGCTAAACAATTGACTCAAATGTATATGAAGCTTAAAATCATAAATAATATTCAAGGTTAAACTGGTACATGTTTTGACGTTACAACATGTAGAGTCGTCAACTTTTTGAAGGCCATAGATAGGCCTAAATAAAATGCTTTTAATTGTGTACCAGTTTAACGTTGACTATCATTTATAATTTTAACTTTATACACAAGTGCCAAAATACTATAAATAAGTATATGAAACTATTTTTGAAATTTAGTTTTGACTTCTTTGCTATTATGCCTTTAGCTGCATAGTCGTTCACCAAGGTTTTATCCTATTGAGTTTTAAATTATCTTTATAAAACTTGTTCGAATCACCATAGTAGATATACTTTCTTTGGCATTTAAAGCAAAAGTGTAATTTTTTGAATTTAGCAATGCGGTAAACCCACCGTTGTAACTTCCATCAAATATTCCAAACAGAAAACATGATCGACTATTTTTTCATTAATTAAAGAGCAAGACTATCCTAAACTCCCAACTAATTTCTAAAGTTCTCAATGGACCATAAACGGACTGACAGATGCTTCGCATGTTTCCATATAATTTTTCCAACTGTTTAACGGATAAAACTAATGATACAGGATTTAATTAAAATTACGCTCGGTCATTAAGCAGCAATAGATAACATATAACCCAGGCGCTCTATGTAGAGTCTTGTTCGTTATTCGTTCTAACACATACCCAATAAATTATATCTGCTTTCACTCTTAATTACATGGATAATTTCATCTGGGACACAGAAGCCCTTCTTATAGATCGTTGTTATCTTTATCAAATATGCTCTTTTCTTAATCTTGGCGGTAATGAAGAAATTACTCAGATACGTTAGTTTTTAGTATATATTTTTGAAGAAAATTTTACACACATCAAACTTCTTATACTAAATGTAGCAATTACAAAAATTGTGCCTAATTGCCCTATATTAGTTAATCAAATATTTCTAATAAGGGCGTGAAAAAATATTTAGGTATATAAACTTCACAATTTTTAATAAATATTTACCCTATCGTATATATTAAAAACTAATAAGAATTATATTAATACAAGGATGAGTTTTCTTTCATCGAATAGTAATATCAAATTCGTTCACAACCAATAGCTGTTTGTTGGAAATTATTTTTTTTATATTAGAATACGTACAACATTTAGACCATTAGTGCAGTAATTTTCAAATATAAATACTTGAAAATGACCGCACTAGCTGTCAAAAAGTTGTACTTATTCTAATATAAAATAACATCCTACTACCCACTGTTAGTTGTCAACGAATTTGATTGAATAAGAATTAAATTAGTGTAATAAATATACAATAATGGCGTAAACTGGAGTAGTAATTACGCTAAACAGTATTAGACAGGGTGCATGTACAACAAGCACACGACATAGTAGTATAATTGGGGTTCACATACAAAAACAAATAAGAACAGTGATAGACTATGTTCATATAATAAGTAAGAAACAATGTTATGTTCTCTTTGTATTACAATCTCACAACTAAAAAGTAAGAGTTAGCTGGAATCTATGTATAGCAACCAAACAACAAGACTGTTAGCTAGAATTCACGAGTAACAGGAAAACAACAAAAGTATTATCTGGAATTCTTGTGTAACAGCAAATCGTAACATTTGTTATAGTGTGAACACCTTTTCCATCCTGGCGAAGTATTATTATAGTTAATTATACTTGTCATAAGCCATTAGTATTAGGCATTCTTTATTCAGTCCTTTATGGATTTTCAAACATTAGAAGAGTATTAATATGGTATTCCAACTACATTATATTCGCTATATCCATTGCCACCGACGCTTTTCGCTCAGTACAGAGCTCTTCAGGCCGACTGGAATACAATGAACACAACAGTGGTTGGAACACAATATATATATATAAACCATTTGTTACAGCAATTGTTATGCCGTGAACTGAACTTTTTTTTTTCCCAGCTGGCAAAGCTGATTGTAATTAATTATACTTGTCATAAGATCTATCATATTTTTAAAACTGCATTCTTTATCTAGTCTCTTAGGAATTTTCAGAATTAGAAGAGTGATGATGATGTTAAAAATTAATTTACATAAGTTTTGAATTCATCAAACTTAATAAACATCAGCGGTTACAACCTGTTACATGAAAAACAACAACAACAACAGTGAACATTAAGAATGTTTTTATAATGAACAAATTAATTTCCGTTTTTATTAATTATGAAATTTGTGAATATTTAAGAATGGCTACTGACCCTTTGATTTAATAGTTTCGAATCTCGAAAATAGTTTCAGTTTTCTTACGCATAGTACAAAAATCTATGTATGATATTCAGAATTTATCATTTTTTTACGTAAGATATACACACTTAGAGGTTAAACTGTTTTAGAGCCTATTTTATTTTAAATTAGTTTCATTCTAAACATGCTGCTCCCAAGCATAAGTATTTATTTATTATTTACAAAATTTGATTGTACTTGATGAACAAAGAATATGTGAGATCCATAGCTCCGTGCCTATCCGCTATATTAGAAGCACGAAGATCAATAGACCGGAAATTGCAGCAAGTATATTTCAGTACGAGTAGCACATGTGTAATGTTGCAATAGAAACATGCAATTTTAGAACCGTGATTACAGATGAGGATAAAATGCAATTAAGATTTCGAGAGAGAGTCTTGTGGTTGCTGGTACCAGAGCGGCTTTAAATGAACAGAACTCGGCTTAACCTTTTGTTAGATTGTATAGCTACTTCAAGTATAATACTTCTATATTTTAATATTAAACAAAAAGAATAGTGCATTGACTTTAATTAGGAATTCAATAATTCGACGGAAAATTTTGATTTACATTGTTCCAATTTCGCTCCTTTTGTCTCTTATTACAATATTAACTGCCTTGATAAAGTCATAATTTTCTCTCTCTAAGAAATAAAAGGAAATTCGCTATCAAGAAAGCTTTAATAATTTTCTAATTTTAAAGC